CGCCCAGCACACAGATATCGATTTTGCGGCCACGGGCAAGCAAAGCAAAGCACAGCAAGAATTGTCGTTTTTCCAACCTCCAAAAAGCAAAGGGGGGGGGGAGTGCAGCGAGTGTGTGTACAATGTTAGTACTCCTGCTTTGTTGCGGCCTGAGTGCGGGGCTCCACGGGGGGGCACAGGCGCACAGTCATGCGAGCACGCACATTATTCCCCCGCCGCAATTTGTTTGCGCCCAGCCGCCGCCCCTGCTGCGGCTCAAGGCGGCGGCATCGCCACTGCGGCGACGGCCACGGCCACGGCGAGCAGCACAAAACGACCGCAGCCAAAAGCCGCAGCAGCCGCACTGGCGTCGCTTCCGACGTGCTGCGCCGCCCCGTCAAGTTTCTTCTGCACGGCGCTGATGTTGACGGCTGCCGCCGGTGTCGGGGTGGGCGGCGCAGGCGCATCGGGGGACGCAGCAGCTGCTCCCGCCGTGCCTGCCGCGTCGCTTTCTTTTGCGGCAGCGGCCTCGCCCGGTGAGGGGGCGGCGCCAGCGGGGGGCGGCGAGGCAGCGGCGGAGTGCGCGGCACCGTCAGGCTCCTTCGCGCGCTCCTGCGCCTCAGCAGCCGGCGACGTGCCGGGCGCAACCTCCGCTGCGGCCGCCAGACTGGAAGGATCGACGCCCGCAGTTCCAGAGGGCAACTCTGCAGGCTGTGGCTCGCGTGCCGGAACTTCCTCTTCGTCCTGCCCCTCCTCTGGCCCCGCTGCAGCCCCCTTTTGATCCTCCTCGGCGTCTCCCTTCGCCTCCTCCAACACGGCGCGCGGAATGACGAGGCTGCTGCCGTTGGCGGCGATGGTGCACACCTCAGCGTACCTCGGGCACTTGATCTTGCCGCCGTCCTCGAAATCACTTGACTCCACCTCGATTTCCTTCTCCGCGGGGCACTCGTGCCACGCATCGCTGCCGCTGTACTTCACCTTCACTGCGCCGTCCTCGCACAGCACCTGCGCGCACACGCCCGCGAGTTTCTTGTCACCGGCGTTCGCCTTCACCTGCAGTGTCTCCGCGTCCAGGCACCACGAGCCACTGCCAGTCACCGACCCGGGGAGGGTCGCCGCAGTTGCTTCGGCGCACGCGTTGGACGTTTTCCCATAAGTTGAATGATTAAAATACATTGAAACAACAGGGCACACGTCCCTCTCGTTCAGACTCCCACTCTGCTCAACGATGCTTGCGGTGCACGTCCCGAGGTGGCGGCGGTCAGAGGAGCAGCGGAGCGTCGTTGTGTCGGTGTCGTCGCAGAACATGTGCGGGTACGTGGCGGCGAGGCCATCGATTTCATTGCACTTCTTCTCCAGGAAGCCGCAGCCGGAGTTGTTGCCCCAGCGCATCGGCTCCGCCATGCCCCAATTCACGCGGTAGTAGCCGAGGTCCGCAAACACCGCCAGCGTCAGTGCCGTGTAGTAGCCGGCGCCGACCGTGGGAGCCATCAGCTCGTCCTTCGCGTTGCGTCCCTCCCAGTGAGGCACCTTCGCTTGCACACCCCCAGTGTCGTCCTGCTCCAGCTCCATGCCCTTGAGCGTGCCGCAGCTGAAGTGCGCTGCCGCCCGCGCCATGACCGTGGCCCCCGTCACCAACTTGCGCTTTACTCCACGCACGTGGAGCTCATGGCCCACCATGCCCTTAAGCTGCATTGCCTCGTGGCTGAACCCGAGGGCATGCGCCAGCTCGTGTGCGGCGACGCGGACGCTCCGCGCCAAGTCGGTCATGTACGCCGGGTTGAACTCCATGGCGCCGACGAAAGGGCGCGAGTCATCCAACGTGACGCACGTGGCCGCCCACGCTGGAACATCGTGCCTGAAAGGCCCCGCAGCGGCGTAGAGGACCATGTCGGCATCCGCCACACCCTTTTGTTTGTGCCCAGTTGGAATTGTAAAGTGCTGGCAATTGTCTCCGGGATTTCGCGGCACAACAATGTTCCCAGCCACTGGCTGCACGAGAAGTCGCTCCGCGTGCAGCTTGACGGCCTCAGGGATTATCTTCGTCTTGTACAACTCCTTCTTGGCGTCCGTCAGTACGTCACGGGCCGTGCAAGTGGCCTCTTGCCCCAGGTAGTTCATGCATGCTTCCTCCGCCGCTTTGCAGTACCTCTGCTTCCCCTTCACCCGAGTTTTCTCCTCCAGGTCCTCCGTGAACACCACGATGCGGATGGGCGCCCAGCCCTCGTTGCTCTTTCCTCCTTCCGCCGCTGCTGCTGCGACGGTGTACGCCTGCGCCGCGCCCTGCCCCCTCCGCGGCACCTCGCGCACCACCGCAGCCGCCGCCCGGTCGCTCTTCGGCACCGTGTCACCGAACGCACGGCGGTCCGCAGCGGCGCGGCACCCGCCAGCGCAGTGCATCACGAGCAGCAGCAGCGGGATGAGCACCGCCAGTGGGAGCAAAGGCGTGGGTTGAAGCAGCCGACGAGCCATTTCCCTTCTGCTTCCCTTCCTTCCTTCCTTCCCTGTTGCCCTTGCGGCGTTGGGGACGCCGAACCACCCGGAGAGGTCTGCTGGGGCGCAGAAAAAGGCGTCGGAGTCGAGCACCGAAGAGGAGGGCAGTTCGTGGACAAATGTGCGTCCCTGCGGCGCCGCCAGTGCGGCAGAACTCATTACTTTCTAAGGAATAAAAACGTGCGGGGTTTTCCCTCTCGGTTTTGGGGGGGGGAAAAAAAACACCACAAAAACGTGTGTGCGTGGGCGTCGCGTGGGCCGCAGGGGGGCGGGGCGCCACGGCACTGACGGCCGCTCCGCCGCCGCGGCGACAACAGACGAATCACTCGCGGCCGCACGCCCCGTCACCCCCGCGCCACCGCAGCGGGGAAGAAAAAAAGCGCCGTCGCCGTCGCGGACTGCCGCTGCCTCTTCTAGCGGGAAGGGGGAGGAGGGGGAGAAGGAAACGGGGGCGTGTCGGCGGCAGAGCCGGCAGCGGCGAAGAGCAAAGCAGGGCGCGGAGACACGCAGCGGCAGCGGCAGCGGCGCCGACCCAAAGTGAGCCGCAGCGATTTGCCCCAACGAAAAAAACTTTCACGGGTGGAGGCCCCGCGGGACGCCCAGCAAACAAAGCGGAAAGCAGATAAAACAAAGCGACTTCGGCAGGCGATTCTCTCGCCTCACGTGCCCATCAGCACAAGAGGACCGTGAGTGCGTGAATATATTCACCGCCTGCACGAAGAAAAAAAAGGAAANCGATTGCCGGGTCGCACAGTCACGCATCACGTTTGCG